CCAGTCAAATCTCAGCAAAGTCACACTTGATATTTAATCGATCTATTGTCGTTCGACATTCTGTCTGGATTTAATTACCTCCTAAAAACTGAAACATTTAATTCGTATCAGAGAACTAATCTGGTACCCATCCTAGAGGTATACCAGCTGAGATGCTGACTAGTATCGAAACACTTGAATTCAGAGGGTGACAACTTAGTGTTCAATTAAAAATATCAGAACTATGTTGACTAGATATATATAAATGAGGGGAAAAAATTCATCGGCATGTTTGTGTCGTGTGTGTTGCTAGTGTTTTTTTTCCCGCCAATAATGAATGCTAAATTAGCTAAACAAAGGGACAGCTAAGTGAAAGGTTTAAAAAACAGATAAAGAATGAGAGATTACTTTGAGCTCAGGTAAACCTTCATGTTAGAAGTGAGTATTTCATATTATCGTGGAATTAGCAGAATATTAGTGATATGGCGTTTCCGAAGGTTACACGTTAAATGCCTTTTTACTAAGTTGTCACAAATACAGAGATCCTGTGATTTACTACTGCAGATCTGTGTTACTCAGTGCTTTCAATCAACTTTAAGTTTAGCACTTACTGACGGAATTTAATCCCAGAGGTGGGACTTGATATTTCCACGTTGTGGGCTTTAGAGATGCGATTTAACGAAGGAACAGCCTAAACTAGGTAGCAATTCATGAAAATTTGGTTCCTTGAATAATATTTCGTTTAACCTTCTATATAAAACAATCTGGTATCCCTCAGTTCCTACTTACACAACCTGGAAACTCTTGTACTCTACTTATTCTTCTTTACTGCTCCTCTACAACTTAACCCTTCCTAGGCTACTCAAAAAAACACTTACTGAGAACTCCACTAAAGGCTGTGAGTAGGATGAGTGGGTTACCGCCAAACCAACTAGTTACTGATGTTGTAAATAAACACATGAACTCATGCAAGAAATCAGCGAATTTATTATCTTTTCGGCCACTTAGAATCCTCTCTATACACAAGTTTCTACTTATATCTCATAAGGCAGAACTAGAAAAAACTAAAAAAGACTTGATGTTCCAGCACCTAAGTACAAAAACTCTACAATACCTTATTTGGAGCATATTTTATGTGCCGAGAAAAGTGGGCAATATTAGATATATATATATATATGCTGACAGTTCTATATTGTATCAAGAATATTTTTTTGAATGAAGCCATTATTATTATTACTATTATTATTAAAATATATAAATAAAACACACCGTAATGTCATGTGAGTCCACCCAAACACCTTATTATGAAAAGAAAATGTAATTTTACCAGAACTAAGGATTTAACAGTTACCTCGGCTGTTAACTGTCTGTGTAGCTAGTCGCATTGTATAATTTATTCCGAGGAAGCGGCCCTCTCACACTTCAAGTATCTGTTGGCTTCTTTCACACCAAATGCTGACACTACCTTACATATAAGAATATGTTATTATGACATATTCGGTTGTTATATTTGTCGGAACCCCCCTCCCTGATTTTGAGGTGCATTTCTCCACAAAATGACTCTAGTTAGAAAACTATTGTAATTATACAAGAACCAGGTGAACAAGTTTTCAGTTCTTCCCTGAAAATTCCTTTGCAGTAGCAACAAAAGTCGAACCTGAGGCCATCAGACTGCTAGGCAAGCGAATCGAAATTCAACCGACCGATTGGTTTCATATTGTCGATGGGCAATTGTTTGGGGTGAAATGAATACGAAGTAGTGAAATTTGCACTCATTCAGTACAAATCTCTACATTTGTAAGTGTGATGACAAGAAAAGACAATATATATGTATACACACAGAGAAGTGGTCACATGCGTAATCTTGTCCTTTTGGCTTTTACAGAACAGAGAATGACTAGAAAACACTGCTTTTAGCGTTGTTGCAAAGAAAACTTTTCCTAAAGAAGCTGAATATGCCCTCTTTACGACATTGCTGAATAGGTCACCTCTGAAGTTAGTGTTCATGTAAAGTTTCTTTTTTTGGTACAAATGACATCTCTTGTCTTTGAATTCTCGGCTTGATGTTCTTGTCAATATATCCTCGTGGATATCAGCGAGGTTGAACATTTTTTGTTTTTGTCGTTGCTTAAATAAATGGTCAAAAAGAGGATCCTCCTCAAATAAATCTCAGAAAAGTTTATGAGATAAATTTACTCAAGAACCCCTTTGTTTTCGAACATCTTGTGTACAATTAGACCTCTAACAGAATCTTCACTCACCACACATTACCCATGCCTTTTTAGGTCGACTGCCTTGTTTTAGTGAAGTGATACTTAACGCGAATGGTTTGCGGGTTTTTGTTAGGACTAATTGGAATGGACGAACATGCATGCAGGATAATAATAGGTCATTTTCTTTTGTGGATTGTCTTCAACTGCATACATGCTAAGCAAAACCAATTTGTCAGTTACAAAATTTTTCAAAAATCCTTTTTTTCACTTCGGGTTAGAGATCGAAAGGATGAGGAAAGTAATTCCAAAAATGATCTAAGCAGGCATGTTATTCAGTGTTGAAAGACTAACTATTTACGGTATAATCAGACAAGAGAGTGGTAGAGTTCGGATTTCATTTGAGAACAAGGATACACCCCCACCCCATAGAACACCCACATCTGGACTCTATCCCTCCCTTGTCTAATTGCACTATAAATAGTTAGCCCCTTTTTAACACTGAATAATTCGTCTCCTTACATTATTTTTTGGAATTATGTAGCATATATCATTCTGTCTATCTTTCTAAGTCACTGAGAAAAAGGTATGTTCAGACGCTGCTTTGTGACTTATATTTTGATACTGGTTAGGATGCATGCAGTTGAAGATAATTCACGAAATAAGACAAGACCTTATTATCTTGTAAATATGTTCGCTCTTTCCTTATTCAAACTAATCAGGCGAACTGGTCTTGTGAAGCAACTGGAATGGGATTCTAGTCAACAGTTGCAAGTTCAAAACAAGCAACAGAAATTAATTAGGCAGGATTTAACGAATTCATTAAATTTCGTTGGAACTCTTCAGGCGGGTACTCTACATTTGGGAATATATAATTAAGATAAAAATGCATTACGCTTCAAATACATCAATTAAATAAACCATTAGTTAGCTTTCAGTGAGTGAAAGAACTTGATTGTATCGAGAATTTTGAACTAAATAATATTGATAATAATAATATTAATGCCGAGATGCATGTCAAACATGCTCAGGACAACACCAACAATAAGGAATCTAAATCATCAGTAGTAATTCCATACAAGGAAGGAACCTCAGAAGCTATACGCAGAATTCTTAACAAGGCACGAATAAAAGTGACTGGCATTCAAACCAACCACAAATTCAATTAGAAACAAGCTTTGTCGGTTAAAGGATCAATCCTGTGGAGCCTTTAAAACAAAACAATTTAATTTACCTAATACTCTACTGGAATGATTGTCAAGTCAAATACATAGGTCAAAGTAGTAGAACACGGGCAGTCAGTCAGACTAGCCAAGCATAAAAACCTAGTAAAATCTAGATTAGTTGACCTGAATAAGACAAGAAATCTAGAGAATAGTTCAGCTATAGCATTACATGCAGTTACGCACAACCATACAATAGGATGACAGTTTTGAAATCTAATTTCACAGAGTGGAGGGAGAAATTGATAACAGAAGCTTTGTTTATCGAATCAACTGCAAATACATGTAATAGGAATGATTCAATTCCTGTCCCAGATATCTGGAAAATTCTACTACCATGCCTACGACAAATAGGAGAAGACAAAGAAAACTATAAAACTCGAGTTTCGAAGTTGTGTGATTACAATTGATATGATTATGAACAATAAATTTTGTTCGAAACGTCATCCGGTAAATAATGCTGGTTCACTGTGTGAAACATCTAATAAACAAACTAATATGGAATTACTTACTACCACAGTGCCCAAGTTTTACACATATATTGAGATAATAGTAATGATAAAATATAGTTTTAAATGAATCAGAAATAGTAATATTAAGAAACAGAATGTAATATTAATAATAACAGTAAATTAATACATGTTACCATGGTAGACTCAGAGTGAACACCATTTCCTTTTGTACACAGAGACCTGGTTTATAACCATTTCATAGGTATTTACTTAGAATAAGATAAAAACTTGAGTTCTAGGAGAAATTAAAGTGAGCTATTTTACGTCACATAACATTTACATCATAATTAAAATAAACCAGAACAAAACGTTTAGTGTTGCAAAAGGAAAGTCCGTGAGAAATTGTACAATGAAAATGCTGTCTCTTGAAACAGGTTATTTCAGCATTGACAGAATAACGTTCATACGTGGATTAGCCATTTAGCAGTGTCACACAACCAAATCAATATATCATGTATATCATAAAAATGTCTGGTAAAGTCTACTCAGCATGAAAATCCTTGGATACGAATAATAATCAGGACAGTTTTTGCATTTACAGTTACTTACTGTAACCTAAATTGCTTCTGACCAGTTCATACCTGTTAAAAAGTGCCTACAAATACAACAAAGTTTGTCTTGTGAAAAACCTGAATACTGAAGAAGAAAAACAGTGACGGTTGCCATGGATTAGAAGGATTTCAAGGTTTTTTACAAACTGTAATCAGTTGAAGAACCATTGAAAACTTGTTGGTTGTTTTGTGGATGTGTGGTCAGCGAGATGGCCTGGGTTCAGTTCCTTGTTGAGGCGGTTGTCAACGACTGAGTGCTGCAAAAAAGCACGAAACTGTGAAGAAATAGCTTTTCAGCACTGCCTGGTTCTCTGTGGTTCGCCAACCGATTTCCTTTCATAACCAAACTTGAAAAGACAGGGAGACAAGCAACTTTGCATGAGTGAATTTGGTTTCCAGAACCTAATAAAGATGTAGTGTTACTCATTATTGGGATTTTCGTTTGTCAGTAATTGCATACTCTGTCTCCCTCTCGCTCCCTCTCTTGCTCACCCTCTCATACTTTCTTTCCATTTTGCACTTTAGATACAACATTTCTACTGTATTCGATTCGGGTTCAACGGAAATTCTAACACCGGATAGTAAGTATTACCTAACATTTCTACTACCTGAGTTTATATTGATTTCTTTTTCAAAAATAATATTCATCTCTTGATCATATCACATTATTATTATTATTGTATTATCCGGAAGTTCTATCTCAGTATGGATATTGAGTTTTATATCTTTGGGAGTTAGTTTTTAAGGATTTAGTATGTTTCAGAGATGACCACAGATTGATATCAGTTAGAGAACCATTTAAAATCATCACTGGAGTACTACGCAGCTGCCCCGGCCTAGTTTGAGAAACATTTCAAATTCCTGAAAATTAATCTGATGCTCGCTAGTGAATGACTGAAGGACAAAGTGACGTGGCAGCAGTTCCATTGAGAGTGTGTCGTCGGGTTCAATGTTAGAACGGTCGCCAACCATGCACGTGGTCCGGGGTTTGACGCACTCCTCGATTTTGATGTGCCGGTAATAAGGCCGGTAAAGAGGAAAGGTTGGATGTGAGACTAGTCACCCCAACCACTGCTACTGGAACTTCAAAGCTCTAGCTAGAAGCCCTATGCTCCACTGGGAATGTAAAGGAAGTGAGAAGTCGTGACCAGTGATGTCAACCATCTTGGAGATGAGGACAGGAACAAATATTCAGTACTCCCTGTTTGTTCTCAACAGTCCTCTAACTGATATCAATCCATGGGCAAAATTGGGTTTTACGTCCTTTAAGTATCAATATTAGACACCATTTGGTTTAATTTGATAATAATCATAATAAAAATAAAAATAATGGTAGGCGAGTGTGGTGTCCTGCCGAAGCAGCCTAATCTCCACTGGCTAAATATCACCATGACAACAAAAACACCTTTGTACAAAGTGCATTTACAAGAACTACTTGATAATAGTACACACAACTGTTTAAAGTTCACTTGGTTTCTATCAGTGATTTTGAAAACAAAAACATATTTATGTAACATAGTCTTTAAGTGAAGTGACAAGGTAAAAAATAACAAACACGTAGACTTGTTGTACTTCTGTGTCAACTAACTTATTAGCGTGCCTTTGTCCTAGTTTCTCAATCCTCATAAGCTGCACCCATGATTGCCCATAGTTTGTCATCTCCTCCAACTCACGCAACCTCCTCCATGTCACCCTCTGAACCACGCCCAACGCGTTCTTTCGCATTAGGGTTCTACGCCAGCGACGGCCTGAAGCACGATTTCCCCCAACTGTCTCCTCAGGGTGTGCCCCATCTATCTGAAGAATTGTTAAGCAGTAGGTTCTTGGTTGGCTTGTTCCCACAGCTTCTTGCTTCTGATTCCTTCTGGCCTGTTATGTGTGTTCCTCAGTATGCAGTCAGTGGTGCAGCTGTTCATAAAAGTATGCAACCTGTTGGAAATGCTTTACCTGACGCACGAATCACGTTTCTGACCCATATAGAAGCACTCACTGACTTAACAGTGGTGTTGAAAATCCGAATCTTGTTGTTTATGCCGATTTCAAGCTGATTTTAGAACAGATTTCAGAGTGATCAAGGTGTACCTTGCCTTTCCAATTGTGTTTTTGACATCCACATCCGTGACATGTGCACATAGTTGAAATGAAGCTGTCTAGGTAAATGGAGGAAGTGACCTTCGAACTTCTTCCGCTGACAATGACTGGTGTTTTCTGCTGTTGTTGTTGCTGTTGGCTATCTTCATCACCTCCATCTTCTCTATGTTAACTTGAAATTTTGTCTTTGCTGCCAGCCTCTTCTGACATCTAGTGGGTTTTCGCCTGTAGGTCTTCGAGTTTGTGTGACACAACGAAATCCAAATGTTCTAGAACCTTCTTATCGGTCCAACGTGTATCTGTCTTCTCGCTTCCCACCCACGGTGTTCTGCATAATCCAGTCCACCACAGTCAGGAATATCATCGGTAGTATTTCGGCTAAAACTCAATCGAAACAAAAAGCGATTAACTAGTTGGTAGTCGAGAGATCTGTCTGCATTATGCGAAGATAATCACTGCAACTAGAATTGTTGTCTTGACCAGTCGAATAAGAAAGACTTTGATCAATCAGCAGGCAAAAAAAGAGACAATTTTTATCATCAGTACACACATAATGAATAATACAAAAGAAAAAGAATCAGCAACAACTGGAAAGTTGTAAACTTTAATAATGAACAAAAACAATGAAGAGTGTCTTCCTCCCTAGACGAAATGTTGTTTGGATACAGGTGCGCGCGCACGTTTCTACACCCGACACTACACGCAAACACGACAGCAGCAGCAACAACAACAACAAAAACAACAACAACATCAAGAACAGCGGGACAGTTCTTATGTTCACAGTGATTTCTTGAAAACAGAAAACTAGGCTGGATTCTTTCACCAGTAAAACAAAAAAGGAAAAGTTCATTTGTCCCTCTTTGTGCGCATGTGTGCGTGTGTGTATGTGTTTGCGCGCGCCTTCTGTTTCTTCTGGAACAAAAGTAGTTAATAAAATCTAGTCACGCAAACATTTAGCAGCACATGAAAATAATAAAAGGCACACACCAGATCCGCCTCCTTCTCTTTAGCTCCCTCGCGCTCTCCCTTTCTCTCTCTCTCCCGCTCCCTCTCAGGCACACACACACACACTTTCTGCTGTGTGTGTCATTCATATAAGAGTGAAACTAGATTTATCCTTCTCCTGCCCATCGCGCTCCTCTTTATTTACCATATTTTTTATTTATTGAGGATCAAGTAGGCATTCTATCTAGGAAACACTAAGCTCTACAGAATTGAATTTTTCTCTCCCACTTTCTCTCGTTGTATTTGCCTCTTGAATTTTTTCAGTAATACAATAAATTTAAGCACCACTTGTTTGTTACTGAAGCTGGAATAAGCCTATTTCTCCTTCTTTTTTCTCTCCGGGGAATTGATAACAATAATAATAATTATTATTAATTAAAAAATTTCAAAACATCATTTCAATCACTTGTGTCAACAGTGCATGGTTGTATTAGTAGTAGTATTAGTACATCATCAAGTGTACAACACCGGAACACTATTCAAATCGACACTTTTCAAAATGGTTAGCAATATACAATCTAGACAGCTCAAAGAGTGAAATTTCCACCATACCTTCCTCTGCAAACCAAATTATTTTTGATGACAAAATTAAGGTGTTCTGTTTGATACTATAAATGGTGAACAAGAAGGCAATTATATTTGAATAAGACGACATTATTAGAGAAACTATCAATCACACAGAGCATTCAGTTGATATTATGTTCCATTATGAGTACATGCGATTCAGAACACTACGTTTAAAGGTGCGATGATGCCGACGGATGGTTTATTCTGTAGTCCTTGTGTTGGGAATGGAACATTAAACTTCAAGTCTTGAAGTTTCAGTAGAGGTGATGTTGATTTTTATGCTGTGAGGCTGTTAGGCTCACACCCAACTTTCCTCTATTCTGGCGTTTTGGGAGTGAGTAAGCTGGGCATGAAATCCGGACCTACTTCATGACTGGCTAACACTCTACCAGTGAACTGTCAACGTAATTATCTAATTACTATGAACATCTATCAACAAGTCGAATGAACCGATGAGCTTCCATCGTCATTTCATGAAATTCCAGTTTTTCAGTTTCCTCTCTAAATTAATAGTACAATTTTTCTGCTCAATAAGCAACAAGGTAGCTGAAAAGTTGTGAAATGCAGCAAAGTCTAGCATACGTGAAAAGAATTACCCATCTGGAGTTGTTTGTGACATAAATTCTAATCACTAGTGCTTACATATCCAGATAAGTTTCATGGTCTGTTAACTAACGTTCACCATCAATCAGAATTTTAAGGAAAGACGCATCCCTTTACTTCTGTTTACACTTTTCTATGGGGATATCTTGATAACGAGCTGACAGTTATAGTAAATATTATAACTATCAGTGGCAAGATGAGGAATAGGATGCCTACCTGGTATACTTCTAAGCTTAGTAACTTAATAGCGTGCCTTGGATAGAAAGCGAAAACGGGAAATGAAACAGAAATTAAGGTAGAATATGAAACCAGTCTGAAAATCTTCGTCACTCAACATCAACAATGAAATTCGGATTTTCCAAACAAACGTCAAGTCAGTTCTTCTATACGGATCAGAAACTTGGCCAGTGTGTCACAAAGAATATTTCCAACAGCCTGTTGCAGACCTTTATCAACAACTGCCTTCGCTCTATACTCAAGATCAGATGGCCGGAAAGAATCACCAACAAGAAACTATGGGAACAAACAAAACAGGAACCAATCGGCCAACAAATATGAAGGAGAAAGTGGAGATGGATTGGACACTCGCTGAGGAGGCCACTGGGTGACATCGCGCGTCAGGCCATAGCTCGAGTGGAACCCGAAAGGTAAGTGGCGAGTGGTTCGTCGGTGCAAGGGTGACAAGGAGGAGATCGTGTGTAGAGGAGTTGAAACAGTATGGACTAACATGGATGCAGGTGAAAAGTATAGCTGAAGACAGAAGCAAGTGGAGACGTGCAGTTGAAGTCCTATGTTCCACTAGGAACCCAAGGGAATAGTAATAATAATAATGTTTTATGTGTCAAAATGGTCCTTCTATAAGGGTCAAAAACTTGCACTGCGTGTCACGAAAAGGATTTTTAAAAGCCCGCTGCAGACTTTCATCAACAGTTGCTCACTTCGCTGGCTCCATACTGAAGATGAAATGGCCAGATGGCCAGGAAGGATTATTAACAGGAAACTCTGGCTGGGAAAAAAACAACCAAGAGCTGATCGCTCAACAAAAATTTGTAGGAGAAAATGGAGATGGATTGATCAGACATACATTGAGGGAGTCGTCAAATGACATCGCGCGCCAGGCACATATCGTAGAAGTTGAATCCAAATGGAAAGCGACAAGTGGGTCGTCAATACAAGGGTGACATGAAGGGGATGAGAGATTATGGGCGATTGTGGCCCCGGCTGAAGAGGATGGCGGAAAATAGAAGAAAGTGGAAATGTGTTGTTGAAGCCGTATGTTCCACTCGCAACCTAAGGGAATAATAATAAAAATAAT